TGCTGTGTGTGTGTGAGTGTGTATGTGCTGTGTGTGTGTGAGAGTGTGTCTGCTGTGTGTGTGCTGTGTGTGTGAGTGTATATGTGCTATGTATGTGTGTATGTACTGTGTGTGAGTGTGTATGTACTGTGCGTGTGTGTGAGTGTGTAATATGTATATGTGTGTGTGAGTGTGTGTGTGTGGACTATTAAGCCTGGGAACCTTGCATGTGTGAGCAGCATGTATTCTATCAATGGGTTTTATCCAAAATGTGTATATGTCTTGTAGTTTTAAAAAGTTTAATATAGTTTAAAATCTAATGTTGTAAATACGCTGAGTGTGGTGGTACATACCTTAATTCCAATCTTTGGGAGACAGAGGCAGAAGATTTCTGTGAGTTCAAGGCTAACCCGGTCTACATACTGAGTTCTAGACCATCTAGCATTGTATAATGAGACTCTTATCTCAAAACAAACCAAACATTCTAAATAATACTAAGACTTTAGCAGTTTTTGTCTTTAAACGTCTCTCCTAGAGGTCTGTGAAGGTTGTTAATAGTGAGGCTTTTTAAGTGCCATTATGTTGCAGGGGATATCGTAGGCTGAAGAGGCCTGCTCTAGTGATGTATAGACTTTTAAGTGAGGTGGGGGAACATAGAAGGGGGAGAATGGGGGAGAGGGCAAGATCTATTCATTCAGTAAACATTAACTGGGTAATGAACCATGCACTAGAGGCTGTGCTGACATAGAAACAAGACCAGAGGTTAGAGGAGAAAATAAGATCGGGAAGTTGTCAGTGATTCCAGTTCTAGATCTTTACTGATCTTGCCCATATCCTGTAAATAGCACCCGCTTGTTTCACATTTGCTGTTTATAAGCAGACTTACATATATCAGCAGCTTTGTAAGATCTACACGATGACAGAATTCACGCTTTAGAGATGAGGGCACTTAGACAGAGAGGCTCTAGTTACTCAGTCAGGACACACGGAGTGTGGATTCAAACCAACCTCTGCTTTCCTTTTTCCTGCAGGGAAACACTGTGCTTTGTAAAATTAAGGCAAAGGCTTCCAGGAGTGTATAGATTCATCTGGAGGCATTTTTCCCAAGGTGGCCAGTGAGCTGCCTCCATACTGAATTGTTTGTGTGTCTAGAGCTCTGTGTGAACGCCTTTTCTTCTTTCTTACAGACATGGCTGGATTCTGCCAAAGAAATAAAAAAGCAGGTTCGAGGTGAGTAGACACGGCCCTTTGTAGTTCTCTTTCTAGTTGGGCCAGAGGATCTGCAGCCATCACTGGCTGTGAGTCAAGCGCCTGAGAGTCCTGGCTGTCGCAGACTGCTTTGAAATAGAGTTAAAATTTTTCCCTGGAAGGAAGGGCTGATTCCATAGTAGAAAAATATAGTAGAGGTTGACGCTATTGAGATGTGGGTCAGATTTTGACTTTAAAAAAAAAAACCAACTAGGCAAACTTGGAACAGTAGGAGTGGAGGAGAGTAACAGAAGGATGGGAAATAACAAAGAAGAGAGAAGATCGTGAGAGTCAGTCCTCAGAATGGCAGAGACAGAGCCTGTGCTAGGCACTGCAGGAGCTGCTGCTGGGTCTTGTCCCCTTCAGTCTTCTAGACTATTGGGTTCCTTTTGCTGTTTGTTTTTCTCTCCTTTCTCTTTTTGGTATTAGGGATTGGACTCAGGGCCTACACATAAGCTACGACCACATTCCTGTGCTTTAGCTTTCTCCGTGCTTTTCTCTCTGTGCAGTAGCTTCTCCTTTTTGTAATTTCATTTAACTGTGGCCTGAGAATCTCTGAGTTGTGCTTTCTGGGTGGAAATAAAACTTTCTGTGGCCCTGTACTGCCATGACTAGGCCATGAGTCACCCAGTGTCCAGCATACCCACACTGTATACTGTGCATACACACTCTTCTCTTAGTAGCTGTGAGGTTATCAGGTAGACTAGCACAGGCTCATGTGAAGTAAACCTTTCTTCGTGTAATAATGGCTGCAAAGTACAAGAGTTGTCGTGCTGGCAGTTTGGTCAGGTCGAAGAGAAGCTACTAAGTATGTCCTTCAGGTGAAAAGGTGAGTTCTCAACTTTGTGAGAGATATGTATATATATCTCATATACATACACACACACGCGCACACACGCGCACACACACACACAGAAAATATTTATAGGGTTCAATACTATTCAAGATTTCAGGTTTCCATAGATGGCACCAGAGCACATGCCCTGAGTTGTGGGAGGATTATTTGTCTGCAGTCCTTTTGCAAATATAAGGAAGGAAAAATGAAGGAAGGCTTGTTTGCCACTGGCTCTCTGGCAATGGGGCTTCTGTTCTAGCTCCAATATATCTTATTGTTGCATGCCCTGCTCAGGCTGCTGTTCTGGGATGAAAAATGTGTAGATTGGCATTTCACAGCTGCAGACCCAATAAGCTCATTAAGATGGCTTGTCTTGATTAAAGATAGCTAGCTATCACTTTAGTTTCACCCATTTTTGAAGAAACTTCTATGAAATACAATGGTTGCTACTCATCCTGATTAGCAGATTTTAATTCTGTCACCCAAGCAGAATTGTTCACTCGTTTCTTGAAACATTTCTATTACTGTGAGATGTTTTTCTTTAGTCCTTGTGCATGTTTTAGAGTGTTTTTTGTTTTAGCGTTCTTAAAATAGAAATTAAATTTAAAAAAAAGAACTTTCTTTTGGACTGACAATTTTCTACATTTGTTCTTCACTAATAAAAGCTTAAAATAATTATCTTATAATTACTATTTTTGTTATTATTTTGAGACAAGTCTCACAAGCTGTAAATCTACATAGCAAGACTATTAAAAATAATAATGATGAAACCCTCCTTGCTTCTTGGAGGGAAATGCATATTCCTAGTGAAAGCTTTTCTAGTGAATCGAGTATATAAGTGATTTTTATGTGTTAAAAGGGTGTTTTCCTTTTTAACCTTTTCATCATATATTTGGTGTGTACTTGTGGGTAGTTTTATTTATTGCGAGTCTGCATGTGTGTGTGCGCATGTGCATATATAAAGAGGTCAAAGAGCAGGTTTGTGAAGTCAGTTTTTTCTTCCACCTATACATGTGTTCCAAGGGTCAAGTTTAGATAGCCAGGCTTGTACAGTAAGCACCTTCACCTGCTGAGCCGTCTTTGTAGCATCCATGAAAAATGTAAGCATCATTAAATCTAACTAATTAAACTGCTGTAATCTGCAAGGTATTTCTAGGCAGATAGGATTTTTTCAAAATTTCAAATATATCAGAAACTCCACATCCTGAATTTCAGCTACTTGAAGTCCTGTCTCAAAACAAAGAAGCCAAAAGCAATTATGCTATACATGGTTTTAAAATCCAATTTTAAAAATAAATGCTACAGGTAGACAGTATGAAATTAAAAGGTGCAGACAGAAATAGCACAAGGTGCGTCTTCTCCCCTTGTCTTAGTCACACAGCTTCTTTTTCTGGAGGCAACCATGGTAACTAATTTCTTGTCTTCCTTCTAGGCTGGTCTGAGTGTATATAAACACATGCCATGGTTGTGTCTGTATAAACACGCAGCTCCTCTTCTTATATAACAGAGTATTGCTGTATCTCTTGCCTGCCTCTCCTCCCTCCTTCCTCCCTCCCTCCCTCCCTCCCTCCCTCCCTTGCTTTTCTCTCTCTTTCTCTCTCTCTCTCTTTTCCTTCTTTCCTTCCTTCCTTCCTCCCTCCCTCCCTCCCTTGCTTTTCTCTCTTTTCCTTCCTTTCTCCTCCCTTCCTTCCTTCCTTCCTTTCTTCCTCCTTCCTTCCTTCCTTCTTCCCTTCCTTCCTTCCTTTCTTCCTCCTTCCTTCCTTCCTTCTTTCTTCCCTTCCTTCCTTCCTTCCTTCCTTCCTT